CTCAATCCTCTGATTTATACTTTGAGGAATGCAGAAGTGAAAAATGCCATGAGACGATTATGGAGCAAGAAATTGATTTCAGATAATTAAAAAATGAATCAAGGTTTCAAATCCTTCTCCATAGTTTGTATTGAGCTAAAAGAAGTCAATAGAAAACATCATATTTTATTGTTGATTTAATGTAGCTCTGTCTTGGGGGATTAGGGCTAGCTTCTTCAGGAAGAGAGACAATGTGAACACATACACTGGATAATACCAAATCTGTTTTATATTCTGTAAGAAACAGCATAAGGTAAAAGCAGATACTAAATCTCATTCCTTTAATGTAGTTTTTGGCTGTGTCTCTGCCACTGTTGCTTGTCTAATGTCAATTGTGGCTTTGGTTTGTGGCTTTTACAGCCCTTCTCCAAGCTGATCTCTAGAGTTCTCTGCTAATATTTAATTATGTGTATACTCACAACTTTGCCACATCCTGGCAGGTTTTCATTCTTCTAAACGGTTTCCTTTATTAGACACTCTGATGTCACTATGTTTGATGATCAACTTAATTAATATTCCTGAGTCAGTGGAAGTAGCAAATTCAAATCATTAATGAAACTTCATGTTATAATCTTTACATTATATGTAATCTAAGCAATCTCCCTGTCAGGTCTTTGGGTTATACCATGAAATTTTACCATCTATTTAACCAGATTTTTCTATAACAGTAGTGGTATATAGAGAGAAAATTAATCTTTCTGAAAGTGTCTTTGATCTTAGGAAGACTTTCACTGTTAACATTGCAGTCACAAAATTATTCTTTTTGTAAAATATACTTTTTGCCCCTCATTTGATCTCCTCTAATTTGGGGAGCATGCATTAAATTTTCTCTTAAAGCACATCATCCATGTTCATTTGTTTGAAATATAGGGCTGTTATGTTTGTAACATAGATTTTTTTAAATTAAGATATACATATTTCTATGACCTAGAAATGATAGTAATCAGCTGATTCAATCATCTGTAAATATTAACAGATTACAGAAACAAAATGTAATAACCCAAAGAAACATATTTAGGCTTTGAAACAGAAACAGTTGAATCACCTATATGAATTATGTTAGTGATTTTTAATGCAATCTTGAAGAGTAACTTGAGCAGAAAAGATGGAGACAGTGAATGATAAGTATATTTCTGCTATGGAGAGGAATATCATCTTTGTCATGATCCATCAGTACCACAGTTTCTAATTATGTGAATGCTAAACTTGGTCTCATTTCAATTTGTTTCATTATTTGTATATTCCATATACAAATTAAGCAGAAGTATGATTTTATTTGAAATTTCCAATTCTATTTATACATTTTTATTATATTTATATTAATAAATTAGTATCTATATTATTGTACAAGAAAATTTAGAATTTTTCTAGTTTGAGAAAATGATCATCTTTTTTGTGGAGGAATATAAAACTACATTCCACAATTATTATAACAACATGCATACATCACTCTTTTTCAGATTTTTGTGAATTTAAATACTTACAGCAGCTACAATTCTGTTCTCCTATTGAAAGGTTTGCTCAGTATTATAGTCCAACTAGCAGAGTTTTACGTAGTGTCTTCTTTAATCTCAAGACAAGGGAAACTTGGAAAGGGCTGTATACTTTGGGCCAGCCCAGAGCCCAATTGTTGAGAGAACCAGATTCCACACGCAACCATAGTTTGACTCTAGGCAACTGTAACTTTAAAAACATGCTGGACATAAACTTATGTTTCAAATTCAAATGAGATAAAGAAAGGTGGAGAGGAGACTGTGAAATAAACACACTCCATTAGGGAGTGATTTTTCTTTCTCTATCTGTCTTCCTCTGGCAGGTGTACATGCCCACTGATAATTAGAGAGAAAAAGAAGAAGAAAAGGGGCAGATAATGAATTTATTTGCCTCCCCCAACACCTTGTCTGTGATGTCTCCTGGATACACATTCAGGGCAAAGCTACTGTCACTACATCTTCAGACAGAGAGTTTGCTCACTCATAGATTTAATTCATTAGATCACAGACATCTTTGCAACCATTATTCTTCCTACTACCTTATATTTCTGGGTTCAAGTCAGGTCTTTATAGAGAAAAGAGTGTGAAGCTAAGAACTAAAGTAAGGTCACTTGAGGAAGTGTGAAATTCATGATCCCATAAATTATCTTGCATTCTTTGGGTTGTTGATGTAGCTTACTATCTCTTTAAATAATTTCCCTACCTCAAGATCATGTCATTACCTCATTGGAGGAACTTATCATGTAATAATATTTGTTCTCTTCACAAATTTACTCCTCTACTCTTAGTGCTTCCCAACAGCTAACCAGAGGCAAGTCCCAAGGAAAGTCCACACAGGAGAGCACAGTCTTGCTCCAGGAGGAAATGACATATGTGAGGAAGTTGCAAGACTTTGCTAACACATGCAAGTGTAAACTAGGAGAGTATCTCACTGTGGAAGTAGATCTAGTAGTTAACTAGGGATGGCAGAATAGAAGTTTAGAAACTAAGGAACTTTTGGCATGAGAGTCTCAGTCCCAATGTGAAATTTATTGTTGGTATGAGTTGAATTTGTCACCTAAGAAAATGCTATCTTGGAATCTTCATCTAAGTACCTCCAAATGTACTTAGAGACAAGGTCTTAACAGAAGTTAGTTAAACTGAAATCTTTGGGTGAGTCACTGGTATGACTAGTGAAAAGGGAAATTCGAATGTAGAGACAGACACCCACACAGTGATAATGCCATGGGAAAAAGAAGATAAATCAAAGAATGCCAATGGTTGCCAGTAAACTACCTGAAGCCAGGAGAGAATCGTGGTACAAATGCTCTCATTGAGAACAAACCTTGGTGATGTCTTGATCTCAAACATTTAACCTCCAGAACTGTGAGACAGTAAATTTCTGTTGATTATGCCACTCAGCATATAGTGCTTTGTTATGGCACTGTTGTTAGAAATCATAACAAGTATGTTGATAAGATCATCTGATGCTGAATCTTGGGCCAGTAGGTGGAGGAGTGATTTAGGTGGTGAACATCCATGGCCAACTCTGGTTTGAGTCCCAGACCTGGTAGCTTGAAACTCAAGCCAGACATGTGTGAATTTCATGCCCAAAATCCCAGAAGGAGAATGGAGAAGAAGGGATCACAGTGTGGCCATCCTCCCAGTGGGTGATTTCTTGCTTTCTCTCTCTCTGTCTCTGACGAGTGCATGCACCCTAGAGCAAAAATCTGTCTCTCTCAAAAAAAAAATATATATATATAATTAAATAAAAAAGAACAAGAAGTAATTATCTTTACTAATATAATAAAAATGTACAAGTGAAGACTTCAAACTATAAAACTACTGATAGAAAACTCTTGGAGACATTGGAATAGGCAAAAGCTTCTTTAAAAAGACACTCAAAGCATAGTCAAGTGGGGTTACATTAGGTTAAAAAGCTTCTGCACAGCAAAAGAAATAATAATTAAAGTGAATCCACAACCTTTGGAATGGGAGAATATATTTGCAAACCATACCTCAGATAGGAGACTGATAACCAGAATACACAGGAAACTCAAGAAACTTACCCAAGAAACATAACAAACAAACAAAAAAATAAAAGACGGACCAATGAGCTGAATAAACATCTCTCTAAGGAATATATATAAATGATCAAAAAGCATATGAAAACATTTTCAACATCCCTTATCAAGAAGGGAGATGCAAACCAAAATGACAATGAGATAGCATCTAGCCCCAGTATGAATGACAGTTTAAAAAAAAAATGGGAAGTGCTGGTGAGGCCATGGTGAAAAGGAAATTTTCCTACACTGTTTGTGGGAATCTAAATTAGTCCAGCCACTGTGGAGAACAATAAGGAGGTTCCTCAAAGACCTTAAGATAGAAGTACCATATGACCCAGCAATTCCACTTTTGAGAATCTACCCAAATGATAGGAAAATTCTCATTTGGAAAAATACTTGAATATCCATGTTTATTGTGGCATTATTCACAATTGTGAAGACATGGAACCAACCCAAATCCATAAGCAGATGAATAGAATAAAAAGGTGTGGCATATATGCATTACAGAATGCTACTCAGCCATAAAAATCAATGAGATCCTGGCATTTGATAAAAAATTTAATAATACAAAAGATTTACTGTTAAGTGAAGCAAGCCACATTCCAAAACAGAGGTACTCAATATATAAAAAATAGCAGTACTATATGGCAGAAACTGAAAAACTGGATACTATCAAGACATGGAGAGAAACTGTGGATACCAGAGACAGTGTGGGAGGAGGGTGGGGGATGGAAGAGAAGATAGGGAAGGAATGCAAGGGGAAAATGAAAAATAAATAAATAAATAAAACGTTTAATGGACCCCAAATGGAACATTATCTGTTAATGATAATATGTATGGGAATATCTTTGACTGAACTAATATGTAGTGTATTTAGAATGGGAAAATTCATTTGTATGCTCTAATGGTACACAGTGATTGAATGTCAAAAAAAGCTAATAAGGGACCAGCAGTTAGTGTAATGGCTATGTCGCTGGACTCCCACATAGTCGACCGTGGTTCGAGTCCCGGACCCGGTGGCTTAAACTCACGCTGGGCGCGCGTGCGTGCGTGCCCAAGATTCCGAGAGAAGAATGGAGAAGAAGGGATTGCAGCATGGCCATCCCCCCTGGGGGGTGATTTCTCGTTTTCTGTCTCTCTGTCTCTCTCTGTCTGGCGAGTGCACGCACCTTATAGCAAAAACCTCTCAAAAAAAAAAAAGCTAATAATAAAAATTTCAATAATGTATTGGTAACAGGAGCACAAATAGTTTTGAGGAATTTCATGGGAGATATAAATGACTATACTTCCTGTAACTTTGTTCTGTGGTACGGGTGAAAATTCTGAAATTCAAAGATAGTCAGTGGCAGAAGATAATAGCTATTAGAGGCAAGGTGGATATAATTAGAGAAATAAACCAAGACTGAAGAGTAGTAAGATACTTTTTCTTATAGGACTCTATAATGTCAAATAATAGTGATAAATGTTAAACATCATCGTCATTACTGTTGCCATTATAAAATTTAATGTATTAGGCCAGTCCCAGTAGCACAGTGGTAATGCAATGTTATGTGATACTGAGATCAGGTGGCAAGGTCCTGTTTTCATGTCCTGAGGTCTCTGTTGCACACCAGAGGTTGCATGTGTGCCGATGATCCTGGCTGACTGAGGCCAGGGGAAGAATCATGGTGTGAAGATGCTGTTGGATGTGACTGTTTATTTCTCTTTGCCTTATTCTGTCTTGGAGAAATAAACAAATAGACTAACACATTTTTAAAATTAAATTATTAGTATAATTTAAAAGTTAGGAACCAAATATGTTTTGTCACCAATTTTTTCACTTAAAAGAGCTATTATATTGAGTCAGAACTGTGTTTTTATTTTATTTATTTTTTATTTGTTGTCACAAATTCAGGAAACAGGACTACTCCTTCAAATGTTGATTGGAATTGACTGACATCAAATATGTAAATTCTTAGTATTTTCTTTTCCTTTTATGTCTTTTTTCTTTTTCTTTCTTTTTTCTTTTCTGTTCCTAAATCTATGTGAAAGACATCTTTCTGAATAGTCATAGAATCATCTATTCTCATTTGCTCATTTTTAAAAAAAGTTATTTTGTCCATGAGAATGTATCTGCTGTGGTAACTTTCTGTTCTACTTCATGTCACAATTTGGCATCTGAATATTTTACAAAAAAAACTTTAATATATCTGTTCTAACAGAAAATGGTTAATGGGAGTACTATCTTGAGATCTTAGTTTCAAATTTGGGACTGTCGCATGTTGGGGCAGGAGGCTAAAACATAACTGTGGATTTGTCCACTCTGCTTCAGAGAGAAAAACAATGGCGAACAATGTAAACGCTTCTGTACTTAACTCACTTCACTTAATGTCCTCTAGGTTTATTCAAGGTCCTGCAAATGACATGAATTCACTTCTGTAATGGCTAGATTATATTCTATATAATATATAAGCCACATTTTCTTTATCAGTTCATCCATTGGTAGACATCTGGGTTGATTCTGTAATCTCGGTTATTGTGACCACTGCTACAATAAACACGAGAGTGCATGTGTCTCTTTGCCATTTTGATTTTGTTTCTTTTGGGTATACACCCAGGAGTGAGATTGCTGGGTCATATACTAGTTCAATTTTTCAATTTTTTTTCGAGAAATCTACATGCTGTTTTCCATAGAGGCTATACTAATTTACACTACCAAAAACAGAACAAGAATTTCTCATCCTCCACATCCTTACCAGCTCGTGGCATCTGAAAAAGCCAAACTTATGAAAGAGTAGAATAATGTTTACCAGAGGCTGGGGAGGGTAGGATGGACAGCAAATGGAGACTGGTTAACAGGTACAGGGTCACTATAAGTTCTATTGTGTTACTGCACAGAAGAGAGATCATTATTAACAGTTTTATATCATGTATTTCAAAATAGCTAAAAGATAATTTTGAATATCTTCATCCCAAAGAAACAATAAATGTCTGAGATGATGAATACACTAAATACTCTTATCTAATCACTGACTAATGTACACATGTATCTAAACATCATGTTCTATGCTATAAGCATATACAATTATTAAATGTCTAAAATTATAAGTGTTAGAAAAGTATTAAATAAATAAGATGAGCAATAAGGACAAGAGAAATAGAAAATGATAGAAAATTAACTGGCAATTTTGATAAATTAATTGATAAATGATTTAGGAGATCACTAGCTTTAAAAAATACTTTTTCCCAGCTAGAAGGGTGCATCAAAATTATGCTTCTTAAATTTTAAGAGTGAAAAAAAAGAAACAATGCATTTATTTGACACAAAAATGAAAAGTTATGGGAATCAGCAGTTAGCGTAATGGCTATGTCGCTGGACTCCCACATGGTCGACCACGGTTCGCGTCCGGACCGGGTGGATTAAAACTCACGCCAGGCACATGTGCGTGCGTGCCCAAGATCCTAAGAAGAGAATGGAGGAGAAGGGATTGCGGCGTGACCATCCCCCCTGTGGGGTGATTTCTCGCTTTCTGTTTCTCTGTCTCTCTCTGTCTGTCTGGCGAGCACACGCACCCTATAGCAAAAAAACCTCTCCAAAAAAAAAAAAAAAAAAAAGAAAAGTTATTTGCTGATGATAGTGTATGTGATAATGTTTTTGTCTTGACCTATAGACACCATACTGATGCTGAGATAAACCATGTTGTACAGCATAAAGATGTATAGTGATTAAATGTAAATATAAAATATATAAAAATAAATAAAAGATCTCTTTGATTCAAAAAAGAGAGAGAGGAATAGATGTTCTTAGAATTTTAGAAATTTTCCTTAAATTATTTTAACAGACTGTTAGTAAGTAAAACATGTGAGGATACTCAGTTCTACTGTTACATACATTCAAATTAAAGTACTAGGTGGATATTTTTTCACCTATCAACT